TGTTGAGTAATCTAGTTTAAACTATGAGAAGTATTAAACTCCTAAAAGCACATACCTCTGGCTATTATAATTTCTCATTTATCTTCTGCTGAGGTTGAAAATCTGTAAAAATAATAATAATAAGAGATATGAATTACTATAGTGAACAAAATTGTTATATTCTAAAAAAAATATATTATAAAAATAAATCTCTGATAATTATTTTGAAGTAAATTTGATTCAAACATTAAAGTTTCACCATTTAAATTCGACAACATAAACGTGAAAAAGAATCTAGAGATTGACACTTAAATTCAAGAATTTCAAAAAAAAAAAAGAGTAAGCACAACAACTATAGATAAAATAATATGAAAAGGAGAAGTACAAAAGAAAGTTGAGAGAACAATTTATAATCAGATTTTTTAAAAAATCTAAAACGTTTGTAACCGTTTTCTTCTTCTTAAAAAATATGATTTTCTAAAAAACAAATAGCGGACAAATTTTTTGAAATTTTAAAAGTTTAAATTGTACATCGGTGATGGTGGAGACATGGGTAAAAAGGGGAAGTTAGTTCTAAACTGTACATGTTTTATATTTTTATTATTTTTATTTTGTCTCTTTATATATGTTTGTAGAGATATACATTTTCAAACTAAATATTTTAAAATTATTAATTGTAAAAAATTGTTTTAAGTTTTGAAATTTTGAAACTAATACATCCGATGGTTATTTTAAGTAATTCTTTAATCTTTAATAAATAAATTAAATATTTTAATTTCGAATTTAAGATAATTACAAATAGTTGATTTTATTATTTATTCCTATTGCATGTAATTAATATTTTTTAATTATTTAAAAATGATATTTTTTGTGGTGCTGACATGTGTCGTTCTAATTCTAATTATTGACATGTGTCTATATTTGTTGATTTAATTAATGATTATTAATTATTTAAAATACTGAAAATTTGTGATGTTGACATGTGTCATTTTTTCTTCTCCTTTTATATATTGATAGATGATTGACTTGTGAATATAAATATTTTTGGCTGAGGACCATATGTGTAACTTTCCCAAATAAAAAAATTGTCTAAAATCTTTTGGTTGGAGACTGGAGTGTTTCTTTTGCTCTTAAAATAAAATTAAGAAAAATAAGGAAAGAAAGCAAAGGAGGATAATGGTCACTAGTTTTAAGGTTAGTAAACATATTGATGACAAGAATTGACCTTTTGTCTCTTTGTTTGAAATTTGATACGCCAATTTCGTTGACGAAATGTAATTATTCCTAAGTTTTGCTTAGTTTTATTTCTTTCTAACTTTCGATCGAGTAAATTTCACTTTACCCCTTTAAAACTTTATGCTGAAGACGACATATCATACCTCTTAAATTTTCCATGGAGATAAACTTTCAAATCAAGAATTTTTGGACAATTCTCGTTTTACCTTTAAGTAATTTAATATTGATTAACCTGGTGCAATGGTAGGTACTCGATCATCTTTAACAAGATGTCTTGGATGCGAGTAGTGAATACATAGTCGTTTTTATTAAGAAACATTTTATCTCTAATGTGAGACTTTTACTAGAAGTCGAATTTAATCATGTTTCAATGTAGGTATGAAATACGGATGAAAAAAAGAATAAGAGTACTTTAGAAAACATTCTTCATCATTTTGTCTAATTTTTTGGATTGGTGCTAAAATTAATGATACCACTTGATTAATCTAGAAGACTTTAAAATCATTTTGTTCAATTTGACATCATATCATTTTTCTTTTTTGCAACCGAAAAAAAAAAGAGTCTTTGACCAGGGGATTTTTTTTTTGTGCCTATACAAAATTTTAAAAAATGTTTGGATAGATAAAGTGAAATTTGTACTCTTTATTTACAGCAAATCCAACTTTTTGAGAGAGACAGACACCAATAACACACTCTGTTCTCTCAATCCCAATTCCATAAGGCTAAAAAACAGAGATTACAATATGCAAGATCCATCATCAATATATTCACAGATCAATCATCAATTCCCAGATCAACAAGTCTTGAAATGTCCTAGATGTGATTCAATCAACACAAAGTTTTGTTACTACAACAATTACAACCTTTCTCAGCCACGCCATTTTTGTAAGAATTGTAAAAGGTATTGGACTAAAGGAGGTATTTTGAGGAATATTCCAGTTGGTGGAAGCTCTCGCAAGAACACAAAACGATCTTCTTCGAATAGCTGTAAACGCTCCTCAACCATGTCGATTTCATCTGAACAAAATTCAAAAACAGAGCATTTTGCTACCCCTGTTGTTCCGGCTTTTGATCAGAATAGCCCAATTCTTGACGCGAACGGGCCTTTCGGCTCGCTATTGGCATCAAACGGGCCGGAAATAGGGAATTTTTTAGATGTTTTGAATCCTAACGGGCCCAATTCGGGTGCAGATGCTGCTGCTCAAAGTGGGAATAGTAATAATAGAGATGAATTTTTGGGTGAAGATTCTAATTGTTGGAATGGTACTAATGGTTGGGCTGATCTTGCTATTTACACCCCAGGTTCAACCTTTCAGTAATATAGATTATTAGAACTTGTATTAGTACTACTAATACTTCTGAAAATGCACTTATCTTTTTCTAAGCATGAATTGTGCAAGTGTTGTTTGCGGATTGTATACTATTACTAGTAGTTTCCAGATCAGCTTGTCGTGCATTTCAGGTTTTTATTAATACATGTACTGAGTAACTCTATTCATGTTTACGAAAACTTAATATTTTTACTTTGCATCACACTAGTTTTGTTTGGGTAATGCTTAATATACGTACATAATTGTGTGTGATTTGTGACTTCATGTATGTTATTCCAAGGGAAATGATAAATTATGCAATTTTTTCCTTTTGTTTTTTGTGCTGATATTTTCCTCTTTTTTTCATTATTAATGACTTCATTTTCATTAGTAGAAAGATATTTTTTGGGTGTATTGGTGACGATTATTAAAAGATTTGCCGTTGCTCCAATAATGTAGGCAAATGGATACAATGTATTAGGCTCAGCACGTACGTAATGGCAGACGTCTATTGTCCATAATTACCAAATATGAGTTTGAGTGGTATATATTAATAGTATAAATTACAAGTAATTCTTGAGATAGTAAATATTAATTAGTGAACTGATAAAATTGTAATTATAACTAACTTGTCATCACATGTTAAACTAGTTGATTAGATGAATATCTACCTATAATAAGTGGACTGAAAATTAAAAATGAGATCTCTCAATTTAGTACATCCACCTTAACTTGGTAATTACCTTGTAAACAATTCAATTGTTATAGTAGGCGTTTGGACACAAAAATGAAATAAAATTGTATGAACAAAGGGTAGCAAAACCTTTTTTCTTTCTTCTAAGGTTGTGTTCAAAAGAAGAAATTGTGAGAAGCACATTGAATTGTGAATGTGGTAGTTGGTGGAGCTGCTAGTCAGAATGTGATGTGATGATTATCAACTAAGTAAAATTGTCAAAATGAAGAAATTTTTATCAAAATGGGCCACAAATCATGATGTACAACTCCTATATATGGACCACTTCTAAGTTCTGGGGAATTTATATTTGATTAATTGATTCCTATCTTAAACCAACTCACATGAGAATGTGGACCTATTATTCACTTGACCAACTCCCCCATTCAATATTATATATATGTAAGTATCATAATAGGCGTGTGTTTAATTCTTACGATTCCCTACTGTTAATTATTTTATGATTTTGAAAAAAAAATACCATATATGTGTATGTGTGTGATGACTAAATTTCAGTTATAAATGAGTTATGATACATTCAAAAGTCAAAGTGAATGTGTTACAAAATGGTCTGATATTAATTACTAATTAACTACTTCAACCCTACAGCTAGTGCTAGTGTGAGTGATTGGTCTCTGTTTGCCAACCAAATTTGCAGCCTTCTGACTTCAGTTTCTGATATGACAATAAATGTAATGGTCTATTTGTAAGGTGGAAAATTCATCATATTGTTTCTCATTTTGAAAAGAAATCATATATAACCATCGATTTGTTTTGAGATCTTTAGGCAAATTGAGTTGACTTACAATTCTTAAGGAAGATTTGATAAGTCCTTGTGCCACTAACTAGTGGAGGGACTTAGCTTAGTGATTACCTTTGATTACTTCAAAGAAGGGGAAGATTGATTGAGGGCCCGGACAATGTTATTATAATTTTGATTTTTTACTTGTTACTATTTATTGGTTACGACTCATTTGTTTGTATTTAATAAAGGTCTGAGTTCAGACCTTAAATTATCAAGTATATTTTTTATATCAAGACTTGAGGATTTATTTGTTTTGAGAAGATTTTAATCATTGAGCTCTTGAAGAAAGTCTTAATATCAATAGGCGATAGTTTGTGTGAATAATTCTCATCTCTATTTTATCCATAATCAGCGATCACCACCAGTCCATCACTAACCATCTATGCCATCACAATCATTGGCAACCACCACTACTGACACCAATCACCTCTGTCATCACAATCATCACTAACAACCACCATCATTGTCAACCACTATTGTCGATCGCTACCACACTTATCAGTTCCATCATTATAATCATATCCCTTGCCACCACTGCCGCCTTGGCCACCACCCCTGTTACGATCAATCCCTACTACCAATCACCCACCATCACAATTAACACTGTCGTCAACCACAACCACCATCACTTATACACTATTGTGTAGTGATTATTTACTAATTATATACTATGCATCTATGTATAATAAGGTTTACAAGTAATATGCAATTGTTTCAAACGAAGGTCAATATTTAAGTTTGAGAATTTTGTGCAATTTCGATTAATTTTTTTTAAAAAAAAGTTAAAATCAGGTGAATAAAGTGATAATAGGCCTATATTTATTGTATAATTAATGGATAGGATATACATATTGATTATACACAAATTATGTAGTGATTATTCATCAATTATACATTATATAATTATGTATAATGTTTAAAAGTAATATACAATAGGTTCAGACGAAGTAAATGTTGAAGTTCTCTAACTTCATAACCACATACTAAATGTACTTCGTTTATATGGATTTGAGCTCAAACTAAACTCAGGTGACTTAAAACTTTCATCTTTGCAAGAGTTACACCTTGAGGCTTCATTTCTGGATGAGCAATTACTTCAATATCTATGCACAACTTGTAATCATTTACAAGTTTTGTCTTTGAAGGGATTTCATGGAGACATGGACTAAACATCATAGAGATTTCTGTTGCTAAACACCATGAAGATCTCAAGTGCTTGGCAATCATTGCGTGTGATAATTTGGTTGTGGTTGATGTGGATGCTCCTAACTTATTTGTATTCACATATCATGTTCATTATGGAACCACACTCAAACTGAAAGGTTCACATTTGCTGGAAGCTCATCTCACCTTGATCCTAAAAACCATTGACTCTCATTGGTACTCTAAGCTCACAAAGTCTCTTGGTAACTTTGATCATTCCAAGTCTGTTAATCTACGATGCGATTGTGATGAGGTACATGGAATAGAACTGTCTACTTAGTACTTATTACCTTGCCTAAATAAGCAGATCAGATGTGAATTTCTAACAGTTCTTCTTTTTGCTTGTACAGGTGATAGTTATACCAAAAGACATGAGAGGAAACTTCAATCCTCCACTTTATGCTACTAATGGTTTCCATGTAAACATTCATAATCTAGTGAAGCATTCAGTTGTGGACGTTCTTGATAGTTTGTTTTGGATTTCTCCCCAACTCAGAACTGTATCTTTTGACTATGGCTTACAGACCATGAAGGTAATATGTTTCATCTTTCAAAGGCACCACACTTTGTGGCATGTATGTAAAAATTAGTGGTGACTAAGGTTTCTTGCACCTTTGTTCTTTTTGAAGGTTTCCTTGCAATTGGATGAAGCTTCCCTGTTCTCTCATAGTAACTGTTTCATTCTCCATTTTCTTATCTTCCTTTAGACATAGGGTATGAGAGAGGAATGGAATTTATATGATTCATAAGTTGATAACAAAGAGCTTTAACACTCTTTATATAGGTTTCATGATCGATTGTCCATGAAGACATTTGTGTTCTTACAGGTTTTCGTTGTTTTGTGATTTTGTAGTGTTAATATACAGAGATGCATCAGATAAGGATGAGAAACCTTGTTGTACATGCGCATCTCTACCTTTGAAATGTTGAAGGCATAAGTTAGAGGAAGTCAAATTACGAAACTTTACGAGCATGGAGCTGGAGAAGTTGAAAAACTATTTTTTCACAAATGCAGATGATTTGTAGATAATTTAAGTACCACCAGAATGCAGACTTTGAGCCAAATTCGTCCATTACAAAATTCCTTGGTTTTTCTGTGTTTTTGTTGCGTCTGGGGCTGTCTGAATAAACTTCAGCATGTCTCCATATTATCAGCCCATTGAGTAATTTTCATTGCCACTATTACAGAAATGTTTTTTCGTTCTATCACTGGAGTTCTGTAATTTTCATTTTCGCTATTACATACTTTTTGCCGCATTTCATTTTTGGGGATTCTTTCTTAACCTTGAGAAGTTCCTGGTTAAGAGGTCATAGAAATGTGTCATAATTTAAGTAGGAAATTTACAAAATGTTGATGGAGGAACATACTTTTAGTGAGCTATTGTGTTTGCTCGTCTTCATTTTGTGGGTAAAAAGAACATGTAGTTAATATGAAGTCCGATGGAAGATTGGGAAGGTGCACTCCACTATAATGTTTTCCAACTTAACAGCTGTTCCACATCTATTGGCTGGGATAATGAAATCTTGGGGAAAAAATTCAACTGATTTTGATCTATCATTTCACATCGTCCATTCCAACTTCCAAACAAATACACCAAGAATATACTGTACTCATGATCCACCTCGTAGAAAAGAAAAGGGCTATATATTCCTCCTAAACACATTTGCTCAATTAGTTCCAGTCCATAAAAAAAAATGCAGTCGGAAGTCAGAACAGTTGCATATATTAGCAGCTGGGTGCAACAACTTGCTCAGTACAAAGTTGGGATATCTATCTAATACTCAATAGATACAAGTACCTGGCCATTGCCTCATAACTTCAATTATTCAACTTGAAGTATAGGTGCACATTTTACCCTATCCCTCAGACCGAGGTTTTCAGGGGAAAAACTCCAAATAAGTTGAAGATGAACAGCAGTTATCCAGATCGAAGAGTAAGTTACATGAAGGAAAGAATAAAGAACCACAGTTTATATCAGATTTTTCAAATAACATACCCTATAGATGTGGCACAACCACAAGCAAATTGGCAAGCTGATCAGAGTATCCCAAGTCTACTAGCGATGTTTTAAGAAGTCTCATGTTTCCATTAAAGCCTACTTCGAAGAAACACAGACCATCTGATATCCCCTTACGATACTCTCAGGCTTCAGCTGCTTAGGTATATAGAGTTATGAAGGGTCGTCATCATCCCCAAGGACCACAACTAATTCAGAAGTTCATATCATTGGACTTAGAGAACCTCAAGGATGACACAAGTTTAGTTAAAGAGGTGACCTTATGTGGGTTGAACTTGATAATCAACTACATTTAACCTCACATCTTTCTTAAAACTTCGTGAATTCCGGGATGTACCAAATGTTCAGCATTCAAAACTTAGGCATATGATGCACATCTCATCTACAACAGGAAAACACCAAAACCAACCCACGGCTTCTTCACAATCACATAGCATCATAAATTCTCAAAAATGTCAGCCCATATCAGTCCAAATTGGACACTAAGAATCCTCTACTATTCTGAAGAAGAAGCTACCATGCACATCTACTTGAGAATAGGCTTAAGATGCTGTCGCAATGTCTAATAGCAAACATACAGAAGTCACAGGCTCAATTGGTAAAGCAAATTGACTACACAATCACAAGAGAGTAAAATGTACATAGAAGTGTTCAATCTTAAGTATGCAACAGATAAAATTCCACATACTGCATCACATTACACCAATACCAAAGCCTCTATATTAACAGTAAGAATCTTTAGTTTCTCAATTACCCACGCGCCTTGAGCTCAGCAAGACGCCTGGACAGATCATCCTCACTGACCTTCTCCTCATCCTTAGAAGATATAGCATGGCCGGCTGCTTGCGGAAGCCCCACGGACACCTCGAGTCCATAGTCATCAGCCACCTGTTGCATCAGGCTGCCGACCTGATCCTCAGGAGTCGATAAGGAAGTACTTCCAGCCATAGAACTCTCCATGAATTCAGCTTGAACCTCCATATTCACAAACTGACGCTCGAATGAATCCATCGTCTCCGACATTTTCTGTAGATTCCCTGTGTTGAGTGAAGACTCCAGTGATTTGACGATCGAGGACATTGACTTGCTGATCGTCGTCATCTTCGCCTGCGTACACAAAACATATCACAATTTACTAGTTATATGTACATAATCGAGATGTGGACGCATGTGCGCCACTGTTTAAATGTTGGATCGGTCTTTACCTGGGTATCTAGGCGAGCCACAACGGCGTCAAGGCGAGAGGAGAGACGGAGATAGTTCATCTGTTCGCTGCGCTTGCGGATGGCGTTTTCGGCGTAAATTCTAGCGCCGTCCATGTTACCTTTCTCGATGGCTTTCTTCACCTTGAGTTTCTCAGACTTTTCGTCCTTCTCGCATTTTCGAGCTTGGCGTTGGAGACTCTTCGATGTGAACTTGAGCTCCATGATCTGATTCATCAATTTCTCGGCGTTTCCCATTTTCTAAGCTTTGGTGATGGAGTCTTTCGATTGTTTTTGGCGATTCTTCTCCTTTGATCGATCAATCACCTTTTCAATTTCTGAAGTTAGGGTTTGCAGTTGTCCCTTTCGGATTTTGGATATGCCCACTCAATTTTGTAGGGCCAGGGGCAATCGGGTCAAGTTTCTTTACTTCATTGCTAATTCTTTACTTGATTTTTTGATCCCTTAATTTCTGATGAATTTCGAGTTTGTACCTCTTACTTTATGATTAAGCGCATTAATCCCTCAATCAAATACTCCTCAATTAAAGTGTGCCCTCCTAGTCCCAAGTTAAGGCAATTTTTAAAATTATATTACTCTCATAATTATGTTATTAAACAATTAAATATTTGTGTACTTTGCTCCTGTTGAGTGACTTACTGACACAATTGCTTATATTACAGATTCTGCTATGTATTTTTATAGTCATTTATTTATGCTTATGTTATTAAGGATAAATGATAAGATGTAATAATTTTCATTTTCCTTTACATTATTAATGTTTGTTACCACGTAATCTTGTATATAAGATAATACAGTGTTTTAGTTTTAATGACTGATAGATTTTAAGTATTATTTTATAAATTCCATGATATTAAATTCATGTGCGAAGCGCGAGTAATTTTACTAGTACTTAATATAATAGAAATAACTTTAAAAAATTCTTTCATCTTTAAATTAGTCCCTAAATTATTTCAAGTTCAGAATGATTCCTCCGTTAACGACACAATTATATCATGTAATTGTGTTGTCAATGGAGGGACAATTTTAAGCTTAAAAATAACATTGAATGCGAATTTGATTCAATGAGTGGAGGGACATTTTTGAGTAATTTCTACTATGTAGAAGACATTTGTTTATCTGATAGGTGAACAAATTAGACAAATTTGATTAAATAGGAGGAGGGGATATTTTTGAGTTGTTTTTACTATGTTAAGAGCACTTTTTTTTTTTTTTTTGATAAATACCTGATGTAATAGTTAACAAATTGTTAAACTTATAAATATTTCGCCTATAAAAAGATTAAAGTACATATTTTTATTGATTGAAAGGTTAAATAGATGTAGTTTGAAGGAGTAAAAATGCAATTTTCTTACTCGGTTATATCCTCTGCGTAGGATTAAGAAATCAATTTCTTCTGCGAGTTGATTTTTTGCTACACTTGTTTTCCTTTTATTGGGTCCATGAATAGTAGTGAGAATAAAAACTGGAACTCATTAATCAGAATAACTGCTATCTTTATAAAATCTCAAATAGAACGTATATTTTAGCCCAAAAATCTAGAAAAATATGAACTCAAATAGCAAACTTTCGGGTACTCGAGGACACAGGGAAGAAAAAAAATCAAGTGCAGCTCAATGCTCATAAGCCTAACATATTCTAGAATGGGAATCTAGGCCTGCCTGTTCCTCTTCTTGACACCAGATTTCGCAACCTTGAGACTCTTGTTCACAGCACTCAATCTTGCAAGGGATGCCTTCTTCAGATCTGGCCTGTAATAGTTATCTGCTACCTGTATCATATGCAAATTCAAGATTGTAACATCAGAAATAGTGAAGGCAAAGAAGAACCTGCTGAGAAAAAATAATCAAATTACCTAACAAAAATACTAATGCTATAAAGGAAACCATATATGTGCAAAAGTAACATTGAGACAGCAATCTTGCAAGGAAACCATGCAAATTGACAGAAATTAATGAGAAAATCTGAAGAAAAAATATGGTAAATGAAAGGAAGCATTTATGATGTGCATATTTATCTGATAGCAAAAAATTGAATCAACAATTCAAAAGGGTATAGGTATATTCAACAACATACCCAGTGCAATACACAACCTACAACAGAAAGGTGGAGGTATATTCATTACATAGAATATGTCGAGCACAATTTGGAGAAAATGGTAAACAGTAGATAGTAATCAATAACCAGACATGTTTTAATGCTCAGATAACTCCAATTGCCAGCTCTCTAGAATGTGAATTTTTAATTCGGTTTACAACTCCTTGTATTCATCCAAAAAAAAAAAAACGTCATACAACAAATTACATAAGCCTTTCGAAACAATCAAGGAGTGAACGATCAAACCCATGATCATTATAAGCAATTAATATGCAGCTTAAGACCAAACAAATTCATGTAAATATACACATTCTACTGGTCAAAAAGGACAATCACCTGATTTGACACAGCCTTGGCCATGCGCCTAAACTCCTTCTTCATTACAGATTTATTCAGCAAACTTGAAGGCTTGTTCTGTTTCTTGGTCTTTGAAGTAGCAAGCAACACTGATTGATCTTTGCCTCCAGGCTGGATGGTCACAGTCTTCTTGTTTGCTAGGCCTACAAAGTCATGACAGCAGCAGTTTAACTAATGCTTAACATGAGCAATGGAAAACTAAAATAGCTAAAACTAGAAATCTAACTCATTCAGCAATGCAATGTTCCGTTCAATGACTATTACAAATTCAAGTTATTCTTTCATGTAAGAATTTTCCATACGACATACTAACGGGCTTAAGAGGCTTATCCCACGTGCTAGGTGCTCTCTGGCTAGTGCGGAGTAAGGGGACAGTGGACAGATACTATATGTAGTCTCCCCCTTTCATTTCTGCAAAGAGCCTCAAACTAGTAACTCAATTATGGTTCACCAAAAAGGCTACTCCATCTTCGAGCCAT